CTGAATCAGAAAAGTTCACATACTGTATCCAAATATATTGTATGCTCAGTGCTCTCTCCAATTGCCTATCAATAAATGCATTGATCCAAGCCCAACTAAAAAGTAATCATATTGTTCCTACAACATCAGAAAATAAAAGTTACACGTGCATAGTATGAACAGTAATAGAAACACAGAGAGGAACAAACACAAGAACAGTTTAGATGTGTAAAAAACATATTGGAAAGGTATGCTTGTAACAAGAATGTTTAAGCCTTGATTTAACACTCTTCTATTACCCAAAAACACATACAGTACAGTACATTAACTCAGAATATTATGTGCTGGGAATTTTGTTTTTCACAATGGTATGGTATGTATCATCATTCCAAATTTGAGAAGCATCCTTTGATCAGCCCAATAAAGAGTTCAATTACAGATGCCAAGATTTTGGACTGTCCCGGAAAGAATGGAAGAACCACACTCAAAGGCCCTGCATGACAGTTTATCAGTAGGGAAGCTGAAAGTTTGGAAAGCTTTGAGACCATCCACCCATTTTCTAACCATTTCATCCAATCCAGGCTCACGGAGCCTATCCTGGCAAGCAACAGGTACAAGGTGTAAGTACACCCTGAACAGGACGCCAGTCCATCACACACACAGGCACAGACATGCACCATTCACACCAGGACCAGTTTTCCCAGCAGCCAATTAACATACCTGTACGTCTTTGGACTGTGGGAGGAAACCAGAGCACCTAGCAAACATGGAAAAACACACAAATTCCATGCAGACAGCAACCCCAGGTCTGGAATTGAACCTGAAGTGCAGTGAGGCCGCAATGCTAACCACTATTAGTGTGGTTGATAATAATAATAATTGCTTACACTTATATACCGCTTTTCTGGAAGCTCCACACAAAGTGCTTGACAAGTAATAAGGACTCCCTTCCACCACCACCAATGTGCAGCCCCATCTGGATGATGCGACGGCAGTCATAGTGCAGCAGTACTCTCACCACACATCAGCTGTTAGTGAGGAGGAGAACAGAGTAATAAAGCCAATACATAAATGGGGATTTATGTGATCGGTAAGGGCCAATGGGAAATTTGGCCAGGACACCAGGGTAACACCCCTACTCTTTTCGAGAAATGCCCTGGGTTTTTAAAGACCACAGAAAGTCTCTTTTATGTCTCATCCGAAGGACGGCACCATTTTACAGTATAGTGTCCCCGTCACTATACTAGGGCATTAGGACCCACACAGGCTGCAGTATAAGTGCCCCATACTGGCCCCACTGACACCTCTTCCAGAAGCAACCTTAGTTTTTCCCAGGAGCTCTCCCATTCTGGTACTGACCAGCCTAGCTTCAGTTGCCAGCTGTGAGCTGCAGGGTAATATACTGTACAGTAGCTACTGGCATAGCATGGTTACCATTTCATGAGTAACAATGCCAGCCATGATTACACATGTAATATCAAACATAACAAATTTCCTAATTTAGTAGTAAAGGGTAAAAATAAACAACATTTGGTAGGTGTTTGTTGTTTACTCGTGCATAAAAACTGACTTCATAAGAGGTTCTGCTTCATTGAAAGCTTTATATCAGAAGGATTGTTTGTGATAATGGAAGGTACAAAGAAGTCATTAATAAATCTACAGTACACTCAACAGAAAGCTGAATCCTTCTCCCATAATACTTAATTCTTTCCCCAAATATAGAAAGATAATAATACAGAAAACCACTGCACAGATCCCTACAACATGCCAAAAAGCAATCAGGAATCTGTTGAGAAATTAACATTCATGAAGACCAACCGCTGATAAGAAATAAAATGACCAAACAAACAGAAATCAACACGACTTTATGTACAGGTTATATTACAGATTATGCACAAATGCTGTATTACTTTTTGATGAAATTATGGTTTTTACCTGTCCCACATTAATAAAAAAAACAGTCCAAAGGAGCAGTTTTAAAGTAGCAAAGAGCATGACAACTGAACAGTATCCAGTCAACACGAGTTTTAAAAACAACTCCACAGCACCAGTTATTCCTATCCTTTCCTACATTATTAATTACACTGCAATATATTTGAATCTCCACAAAATCCTCTATGTGGCTTTTGAATACCTTTAGCTTATTGTAGTCACCCACTACTGTACTGCTTTAACAGCATGTAGCTTAAACATAGCCAATGACTATGTGTATGAGTAGGAGTGTTAGTGAGGTTTTATAATTCCATCATGAGAAATGGTATGGGTTGAGACAAATTTACAAGGCCTGGAATTACTAATCCAAATGCAATCCCTCATTACAAAAAAGAGAATACCAAGTAATGTGTACAGTGACAATATACACTGCTTTGATTCCTAATGTAAGTGTGATGCATCAGCAGTCCACATACTGTACAAACAAAACTTCAGAAGATATTCAGATAAGACTGACACTGTTTCGTGTCACTGCCCAACCACCCATGTACACGAATGTTTTTCTAACTTCACAATAGAACCTCCAGGATACTTTCTTATACATATTTAAAAAAATAAATATACTGCATTACACACACACACCAATTACCACTTGTGAAGACAAATCATGGGCCCATTTGGGAACTGTACTGAAAACAGTACAGTACCGTATCTCAAAGGTAGAATCTGAAAAAGAACTGGAATAAACAAGATAAAACTGTATTGCCCATATCAAAATAAAATTGAACAGTTGATGTGTTTTCCACAAACATGTCTCATCAGAATTATCCTTCCTCAATCACAGCTGCACAATCTCTTTCCCATCACACAGTACATTAGCAACAGTTCACTCTTTATTTTTGTTTATTCTGCCCTAACAATTTCCTTCAGCTTGTTAATGCTGGTTCTACTTTTTTTCTATTACCTTTTTGTCAAGCTCAACCTACCATGATGTTTTCCTTAAATGTGATAAGGTCAACTGACTGGGGAAGCAGGTGTATCGTTTTCAAAACCTGTTGTACTACTTGACTCTTGTACAGTAAGTGAATTCTGACTGTGCAGTTGGACTATTATCATGTTAAAATCCAAACCTGTCCATCAATGGATCTTGTGACCTTGAACATGTTCTATTTTTAAAATCTGTTCTTTAGGAAGGGACCAAGAAAGCCATACTGTGCAAAAAGAGCAATATATCAAAGTGATTTTCTCCTTCAAAAGATCATGCCTCATTGTTTCCAGAGCAGTGGAACAAGATTCGTACTGACAAATGTAAATCAGAACTGTCAAGCTCCAATAACTGTGCATATGTTCGTCAAGGAGCCTCTGAGAGGCTGAAGAAAGATTGCTTTGTGTCAAAAGTCAAAAGCTAAAGGACGATTTGTGATTTGGTATGCTTTTTCTGAAATATATGTCCTTAAAGCACTTTGTACTTCAGCTCATCAAGCTAATTTGATCTGCGAAGAAGCTGATTAGGCAGACGTTGTATTCCACGAAGATAACAAGCTTGAACACACTTCTGAGAAATGTTGAACTTTCTTTATACTGTATTTTTTAGTTTTGTGGAAAATACAGAAAAAGGTCCGATGACAGTTGCGTCTTTTAAGTATTAACGCGTTTTAAGGAGACAGCACGTCTCCACTCGTTGCAAAACCTCTACCCCAAAACTTTTACACGTTTTTTACACGTTTTACATTCTCTTTACCTCATGGTGACGTTTAAGAAAAAATAATTTCGAAAACTAAAATTTTAAAATATTAAATAGATATATCTCAAGATAACTGGAAATCAGATTCTGGCTTCCTGTGGTATTTTTAAATAATCATTATCTAGCTGCACTTTTTGAAAGGTTAATTTATAGCAGTCCACTTTTAAATTCCTTTCACTATCATCGAGCTCTTACTGTTTGCCTCGGAACTCTAACTTGCTCACTCATTTTTTTTTTATCAGGCAAATTATTCTCTTACTTCTGTCCTAAAATCCAAGTTTTAAAATATATTCTAGGAAAACAGTCCACATTTTAAGTCACCTGAATGTATAAAATGCGATTAATTTTCATTCTAAAATCCAAACGTAACGTAAAACAATAAAATTACAGGAAAAACAGAAGTGACTGTAAACATTGTGTATCACGTTTCATAAAAACAAAGGAAATTAAACTTTAATATTTTTCAAATTTCTTCCTCATAAGCCAGTAATTGAGTAAATCGTAATAATAATAATTATTTTATGATAAGTCTTCGGGAAATGAAGTAAATCTTGAGAGGTTATTGGATGCTAAGGCTTAAGAAGACATACATTTTTAACCATTAATTAGATTTTCAAACTTCTCTCCACCCCGATTTATGGTGAAATACGGGAAGTTCTGTATGAGCTTAATTTACTTAATGTGACTCATTGCTGTTAAAAAAACATGCAAGTGGTTCTAATGAACGATATCTGCTACGGAACACTTTCATAAAAATAAACGATTTCCAATGTTATTTCTATCACATAAACAGAGTAAACGTCATGGGTGTCTTGTGTAACACATGCACTTCTAAACCCATTCTTCGAAACGGGAAATGTTTAATTCAAATTCATGAATAAGAAATAATCATAACAGTGAACCTTCTGTACAAAAGCATTACATTAGTGGGATGGTATCCAACCAAATTTAAATCTGTGGTAAATTACCCTTATATTGTTGTAGGTTTAAGTTACAGAATTGCTTCACTCAGAAACAGTTCACGAAGTTCCAAATGGAATAACATGGCCAAAGTCATGGCTCACTCCACCAGATTTTGGGTATAAGCTACTATCTGCGACTATAATACAATGCACTTACTGTATATCACAAACGACCTAGAGTAAGTAACATTGTGAGACAGCTCAACTGCACTATGTTATAAGGAATATAGGTAATGCTAAAGATTTATACCATCTAGTCTTTCATTACATAGCTTTACTTGGGGCCATGAAAAAAGATACCAGTATACTGTATTTCATATTATGAGACCAAAATACACACAGTACAGTATTTCACCAAATATACATATTGCCGTATAACTTACCCCATTTTGGTTGATTGGATGATTGAAATGATCCAGTCAGTGCAAATGAAAGATTCCTCTGCTCTATGGTTAGTACTGTATTTTCTATTATAACGCCGCCGTGGATGAGATTTGATGGGGGTGGTGTGGTGAGGTTGTTGAGATTCAGCTCCTTCAGCAAGACATGACTGTTTCAATATAGTCCTTTATGATCGTCGGTCTAAAGCTGACTGATTTCAAAACAGATCCACAGAAATGTATACACGTTTACGAATACACATTCCGTCAAAGGTAACTATGCTTTTTTTCTTGCACGAATTAGCATTCCCAGGTTTCATTAAGAATTATGCATTCCAAAAAACATATAGCGATATAGCTACTTCGAAACAAGGTACATGATTAACAAAATCCCGAATGCGTATGCAATCCACCTACAGTATCCTTTTCCTTCCCTTTCTTACTAAAATGAATGGGAAGAGCTTGCATTCGTTAGAAAGGTACACTGAGGGCTATCAGCAGTGCTGCTTTCTCTGGTCTCCGAATGACCCTTAAATATCCACTCGGTCTGAAAGCCAGGGTATTACTACTCCGTGTTCTTTCATAACGCCCTCTGGTATTTACTTTCCAAAACCGACACCTCTTCAGAACGGAGCTGGCTAAACCGCAGAAAGCTGTATCCTCAGGCAAGAAAAAAGCTTAACCTTCATTCCAGCATTGAGTTACTATTTTGCCATTCCCCATTCATTCGTATTGCAGTTTCCTTATCTCTTCTGTGCCATCAAAATTCCTCCAGAGCAAATTAAAACGCACTGTCACATGGGCACACGGAAAGGAAGAGATAAATCAGAAATCAAACCAGTACAAAAAAGGATAAAAGACGCCAGTGCACTGTCCAAGGTAGCTTTTTTCATAGCTTTTTTTCCGTTAGGAAACCTGGTGCATTCTTATAGCTCCATCATCCTCTGTATATTCACAGAATCACAGAAATGTACATCACTGATAATGGTTGTGTACAAAAAAGGAGTGGAAAGCCTATTCAGAGGTATAATTGAGGATAAAAGGTTTTAGGTTTTTAACCATGGGCTACAATTTTTTTTTGTTGCTATTCCATCCTCCTCGTTATTTAGAGTCTATAACACAGCTTTCCATCTCTCCAATCCCAGTCAACATCTCTGTCTCCATCCTCCGCTCACTGACAGTATTAAATAGGTCTACGTCACCACGCCACCCTCCGCACTGACGTCACTGCATGCTCCTGGGACTGACGTCATTTCAGTCAAGGGGATGACGTCCAATTACTCCAGGAAGCGTTACTATAAAGGGAAAGAAGGCAATTTCTCTCACCCCGGTACGGTAGTTCAGGTTTGGTCAAACTTCTAAAATTAAAACATTGTATGTAGGTGTTATGATGTTAGAAATGCAGATTAGCTATACAAAAAAACATCTAAGACGTTTTGTCTGTAATTTATATATAGATGGAATTAATGAGAAAAAAATACAAATTTTCCTCAGTATTTTAAAGAAACTGAACAGAGTTTGTGAAATGTAATACACCTTTTATATAAGTGAAATCCTTTCTATTAATATTTGGTTGACAGCATATACAATAGAAAGGCAGTTGTCTGAACTTATAATAACAAGGACACAGAAAATATCAAATTTAAATAAAATTTCAAAACATTCAGGGGCATTACAATGACACATAATCTATTACTTTTTTTTTACAATAGTGCAATTTCTGTAATTTTCCCATATGTAAAAGAATGGTGATATTACCATTTTTGCCACCAAACCGGTTAGAACCAGAAGGGGTGAGAGTGAATGTTTCAATTGACTCATTTAAATCCATGGATTTGCTTCAAGGTAGGAAAAGCAGGAAAAATTAAAATCTTGAGTACCTCATTCTCCAATTACTCACCACTTTGTCCAGCACAGGGTCACAGGGAAGCTAGAGCCTATCTCAACAAACAAGGACCAGGCAGAATACACCCTGGGCAGGATACCAGGCCATTGCAGGGCACACACAGACACACACCAGGGCCAGATTTACCCAGAAGCGAGTTAATCTACCAGCCTGTCTTTGAACTGTAGGAGGAAACCCACACAGATCTGGGGAGAACATACAAACTCCACTCAGATAGAACCCCAGGAACTGAATCCAGGGCCCCAGTGCTGCTACCTACTGCGGCACTGTGCCACCTGTCAAACAATATCCACAATACTTAATAAATATTACTAAAGTCAACCTCAAAGAAGTGTAAAACAAATACAGAAATATGTGCATGAACACACTTGAGACACAAATACTGTTGTTTTCATTGGTGTGAAGACGTTTGCTGCATCTTCTTAAATGTTGTTTCAATGGACTGAATTAAGGTAGAAATGTACTTCAATTTTTTTTTCCAGATTTACGTTTCTTATAGTTAGCACAGAAGCATGTGTCCTGAGACAATTCTAAAATAAAATTGAAAATAACTGTTATAAGCATAAGATCAAGGTAGAAAAATCAAGATGGATGAACAGCAGATCTAATGTTGTGCAGACATGAAACCAAATATTCATTAAGTATACCCTTCAAAAACGTTTTTTTGTATTGTGTAACATAAAACTTTTGAAAAAAATTAAAAATATGTATAATTATACCTATAAAACAATTGTCTATAGAACAATTTACTCCTACATTTAACTTAGGGCATTACATATGTATTAATACAAATAAAATAAAAATAATATTTTTATTTTTATAAAAATAATATTTAATATTAAGATTTACCTGCTTATTGAAAAGAAGTGTGCTTTGCCAACAGATGTTCCCCCAACCAACTCCATTCCACTCTACCTGCTCGTCAAACAGTATAACTAGAATGTGTACTAGTAAAATGAAGGTAGGAAAAACAGCATGGACTTTCAGTAGTTTCTATCGCTAGATGGGCAGCTCAAAACTTGTTTTTACCATAAGTAGTAATTGTACTTGATAACAGCTCCCTTTGTTTATGTGTACCTTACAAGGGTAGTACAACTCAATGTCATTCATGTTGTTTAACCTCACATTTGTGTTTTGTAATATCAGCAACAGGGAATATAACACTCCTATTACCTTTTAAAGTCCTTCAACAAGAGCAGTTTCTTACATGAGCTGATCTTTATTTTTGTCTAGCTGTAGTGCTGGTGATTAACATTCAAGGCAGAAGTCTTAGAAGAGTTAGATCTGTGTAATTGTGTTATCAAAGACTTAATGGAAACAATCAGAACTATCAGAAATAACTTTTTTAAGCCATGTATGGATATTGGTATTTGGTATTTACCAAAGATCAAATCTATATGAATAAACAGTGTTTGTTTATTAGATTCAAATAAAATGTATTCAGCCTTCATCTACTCTATGATTAATCTGTATTTAATACATGAAAATCTTGCCATCATAGTATTCAGACAAATAAACCCACTTAATGTCCCCTGCAAAAAAAATTGAAAATGTTTAGATAAACAGCTAATGTGAATGCATTGCGAAAAAGAAAATATTTTTGTTTTACAATAAACTTTATTTAGTCTGTGAAAGCTGCAGTAGAAACAAAAATGACAAAATGAAGCAAATGTATTTTGGATAAATCTAAATATTTAGACTTAATTAGAGCATTGGTAAGTTTAATGACATGTATGCAGGCTTTGTTGAGGTTTGAGTCTGCACTGTAATGTATTTGTATTTGATCACCTTTGTCTCGATTTAGGTTTTGCTGTCTTGCTCATTTCTGTCTAAAATGGAAGATATTAATGGAATACTGTAGAGTGCTAGTAAAGAGTATAAAGATCTGTTTTCCAGGGAATTACCACTTCCGGGATCACTTGACTGCAAGTACAGTATGACATGTGACCAAATCATACCAAAAAACTTTATAGTTTCATATTCAATATAGTTTCAACTATATTTTGTCTCAATGGATCTAGTCCATGTTTGTTTGTTTTTTGGTAAAGGTTTCTATTATCTTTTTTCATTGATGTGTATGCCAAAGGATTCTTACAACTCTGAAGATCCATACAATGTTTGTACGAATGGGATGTAACTTTAACAGTTATTTTTGGACTTTATGTGTTAAGAGTAGGTATGGCTAAATCTAGTTGCACTTTTAAGGTTCTCCCGAATTTCTTTTTCAACTACCCCCTAGTAAACTTGGCTAAAACCCTCATACTAGCCAAGGGAAGGATAAAGATCTTGCACGCCTTCCTTCAGAAGGTGTACTGATGTGCAGCTATCCATTCCTAAAATAGTACACAATGTGCAGTATGCAGCAGAATTAGAATCAATTGGAAGGATCTTGCAGTTGAGTGATGACAAATCAGAGGTAACAAAGGTGTCTATAACCCCAGCAATCCTGACTTAATCTGGTTTGGTACCCATGGAAATCCTGTTCACCTTCCCTGATGACATACAATAGTTTAGACTTTTGCCAAGAATGTTCCAACTACATGACACATTTTCTGCTGTGTCACATTGGTTGTGAAACTCGACATTTCATACAGTATTTGTTAGTCAAGTGGTATATTTTTGGAAGTATGTGCTTTAATTGATGACAGCAGTAGGGGATTTCACAGGTTTCTTGTAATACACTAGTGAGTGTTTAAAATCATGAACAGTGGTTAGCCCATGAACGAAGAAGAAAAATGTAATATTAGTCAATTTAATTTTACACAAAGATATACTGTTTTAACTATTATTTAATTGTTTTATACACAAGGAAGAGGCTTATAATAAACATAAATTGTTTTTGGAAGAATCCAAAATTCTTAGGGTTAAAATAACATATATATTGTATATATTTGAAAAATGTATTTTTTAGGGTATGTTATATTTTGTAGCAGCATGTTAGCTGTATCAGCATGTATCAGCATATCATTACATTACTGTATATCTTGAACACAAACCTAATAGATTATGCTAAACACACTGAATACTGTATTTACAGTATGTATACATTATATAAAATATGTGTGACAGGGAGCAATGACAGCCCAACAGTACAGTGCAGAACTAGGGATTCAAAATGAAAGTGTTTTATCTTGCAAGAACAGCAAGTCCCATTTTAAAACCAGTGAACAGGAAAGCTAGATACAGCGTGTACATTAAATGTGCTTTCATTCATTAATTTTTCCTGCAATGTCCAAGATCAACAACTGAAGTCAGGTTATCAAGAAAAAGAAGACTACAGAAAACCCTTTACATTTTCTTCACCTGATGTATAGACTCTTTGTACACCATTATATACAATTAAATTAATAGAGCTGTGTAACAGATTCATTGTGGAATGTGTCCGTTAATAAAAACAAAAAAATGCTTACAGTAGTTATCTTGTGTATGATCTTATAAAACATGTTGGGAAAAAATCAAATGAATCATGGAATGAAAGCACAGTGGCAAGGTTCAGACACTTTTCAAAGGCAATGTAATATTTTATGCCTCTATTAAAAGGGAATGCATGGCTGATAGAATCACTTAATGTATTGTAGTGTACTAGCATACTGTAGCTACAGTAAGTACATGTCTCTTGGTAGACTAAATTGTTAAAAGCAGAAGATAAACAGAACCTGTTTAATGTGCACCAAAAGTTTAAGCTAGCTACAAGCTCATTTTAAATATATTCATAGCACTTATGGTAGAAAAATTCAAAGATTCATACTGTATAAAGTATGTAGAGAGCATTATACTTTAGTACAGAGTATTATATTTTTTTGAAATTCTTATTATGTTTTATGTTAAATTATTTTTTCAATGTTCACACCTTAACAATTCTTTGAAAATAGGTTTATATAATCTTTATTATTGCACAAATCAAAATACAAATGATTAGACATAAGAAAATCAACAATCAGCCTAAAAATCCCTCTAGCCTACGTCTTGGGTGTAGCCGATATAATAATTTAATTACCAATCAAACAATTTAACATACTGATTAAATGGGATATATTGAAACTTGTATGTTGCCTTTGAGAAATGATAAAGGGCAACCTTTAATATGTTTAAATCCAACAGGCATGTTGATATTCAGAATCAGTACAGAGAATCCTTAACAGAAGGCACAGATCCCTGACCTAAAACGTGACCTAATCTTGAGGAAATCCCATAGTACTGTAGGTACTGCTCAAACTATGATGTTCCTGCTGAGGTACAGTAGGTGTTTAT